GATGAGTCGGGCGGCGCACGAAGGTGCCACCTCTTGCGACACAGCGGTCACGGGTGTCAACGAGACGGGGCTCAAGACATCGAGGAGCTTCGCCGGCAAGTTGCAGGGCCACAAGCAGTCAGGCAAGAGCGTCGCGCTGTCCCCGATGGTTGCCCCCAGCAAGGACCTTTGCCCCATCGTCAGGGCCGCCCGGTTGCCCGTCGAGTTTCTCCTCCCGCGCGTTCGCGAGAAGTGGTTGCCCAAACGTGTACTCCCGAAGAGCCCCCTCCAAGTGGATGCCCGCCTCGGGCCCCTCATGTATCCGTGGAGCTCTATTGCAGAGCCCTCGCCACTCTGCGGGCGTCTTTCTGGAGTGCAGGCGTCGGGGCCAAGTGTCTGGAAGAGTGGATATTTCCTGGGGGTCGTGTTCTGAACATCTCTAAGACCCCCCTCTGCTGCGAAGCAGAATGTCTTGCGCGCGGCACGCCTGTGGCAGCGCGAGAAGATAGCGGAGCATGTTGAGGCGCCTGAGTTCGCCAGCGGTGCGCCCCTCGCCCCTGCCCTGTCTTTCCCGTGCTCTAGAGCGCTGCCGCAGAAGAAGGAGCATCTCAGATCGCGTGTCATTGGTGCGCAGCGGCCAATGTCGAGGCAATGGCGAGCAGGCTATTCCGTGGGGCCGTTTTGCCTCGCGCGTTTGGTTGCGGGCGCGCGCGCTCGCGCTCGAGTCTCCGCACGTGTCGCTCGCGCCCCTCGCTGATGCCGCGAATCAAGGTGGGCCCCTGCAGCTGCTATCCGGAGATGCATCGTGCCGATGCCGTTTTTCTGAGCGCCTATGTCACCCCGACATCCCCGAATCCTTGTGGGCCCATGGGCATCCTGGCCTGCTCTCTGGGGACGTCTTCCTGGATGGCTCGCGTTTCGAGGGTGATGTCGGAACCTGGGCCGCCGCGGAATGGTCGGCGGTGGCTCTTGCAGATGGGCGCGCCATGTTTTGCGAGGAGTTTGTTTTTTTGCGTTTCCGTCCATCAATGAAGCTGAGCTGCGTGCGTTGTTGCATTGCCCCACGCACGCATGTCCGCCCATTGTGGTGTACGCGGACTCGAACGCACGCGGCAGACTTGAATGCACTCGACTGTTAAGCACGCATTCTGTTTTGTGGTGACAAGTCTGGGACAGGCTTGATGATTGGAGGTTTGACGGGGTGCCGTCGCCGTCGGTCTCGTCTGTCAAAGGGCCTTCCCATTCGACCCACGCCGACGTTGGTGCTGGCCGAGTGGCCAGCAGATTCAAAGGCGGCAGCGACATCGCCGACGCCCGCGCCAAATGGGCGGCCCAGGCCTTCCACCTCCCACCGCCTCGCCTCTCTGCGCTGCAGGCCCACGCGAGGGCGTTGAAGTCCCGGGTGCAGTGGGTGGCGCGCGTGGGGGGCGCGTTTCCTGCTTCTTCCCACCCTCCCTCCAGAGGGGCAAACCGCTTAAGCCCCAGCTGGTTTTGGTGCGGGACCCCGTGGCCACGGATTTGGTTTCCAGGGCGGTTGCTGCCTTCTGGCACTGTTGGGCCCAGGGCAAGGCCCCCCATGCCCTCGTCCATTCCAGACTCCAACAGGGAGTCGATCTCATTGGTCGCTCCAGATTTGGTGTGCTTTCGTCTGCTCGTCTCGCCATGCTCTCTTCTCCGCGCGCGGGAAACCTGCCCACGTGGGCCAAGATGATCTGGAGCAGGCTCGGTCGAGGCGAGTACAGGCACATCTCGTCGGGCGTTTCGCGTATCCTCAGAGCTGTCGAGGTCCGCTCCAATCTGAGTTGGTCCTTTTTTGGTAGGGAGGTGCTGAACCCATGGCTCTCTATGTCTAGCCCAGGAGGAGGAGGAGGTGGAAGAGGGGGAGGGTGGTAGGAAAGGGCGTGAGAGGGAAAAATGAGGAGGATGAGGAGGAGGAGGAGTAGGAAGAGGAGGAGGAGGAGGAGGAGGAGGAGGAGGAGGAGGAGGAGGAGGAGGCGCGCCTGGCCGACGAGCTTGCCGGCTGAACGGCCGGCGGCCTCGTTGCAAGAGGTTTTATGGGCTACAGATCGTCGTGCTGCACTACCTCGTCACCGCGGCCTTCTTGCTGAACAGTGGGCGTTGTGGGCGGAACGCGAATCCCCAGACGAGGAGGCGGTGGAGGAAGAAGACAACGGTGTTGCGGTTTTCCGTCCCCACGCCACCTGTGTCGCATTTTTTTACAGGCGTCCCCTCTCGCTGCGGGAAGCGAATGGAAACGCCCCATTACAATCCGAACACAGTCGTTCATGCGAGAGCCCCGCTTTGTAAGATTATATGATATGCATCCTTTTCGCTATAAGCGAATGCGAGAAGGTATGATCATCAGGGAGCTGCCCGGCGAGAGCCCCATTGAGGAAACTTGTGGCCCTCCAGCTTTGTAGGTGTTGCGACATGCTACACATATGGTCGAATTTGTTGGGGGTGCGTCAGGCGGAGGCTTTAGATTGAAAAGGCCATGAGCGACGACGTGGGTCTGAACGGCCTGGCCTGCCACGCCGATGGAGGTTGGTTTTATTCACGGAGGGATGGATGAGGGCATCGAAGATGACTACCCCGTGCCTCCTCATGCTTCCCGTTCAGTTATTCCTTCCCTTCCTTTCCCCCCTTTTCCATGCCTCCTCTTCCCGGCTCCTTCCCTCTCATTTGTTGTTTCGTTCCCCTGTCTTGTTTTCCTTGTTCTCTTTCTTCCCCTCTTTTCCCATTCCATCATCCCTCCTTCGTACATCTTCCTTCACCGCGCCTCGAGCCCTCCTCCTCATCTCTCTTTCCCTCTTTGTTTTGCCACTCGTGCCGCTGGGGTCAGGACATGACCAGGAAACGGCAAGCAAATCGCGGACACAATGATGTTGCACGTGCGAAATATGACCCAAATACGGAGAATCCACATCCCTCCGAATTCGACTGTTGAGTTCCAGAATTGCATGCCAGCCCGATGCGTGGGGAGGGGAAACCGCCAGGGGGCGCCTGTGGCTCTCTGGCTCGTGTGCGACAGCTTCGCCGCGCCTCCGGCCTCACGCTGGGCGCCGCCTGCTCTGCCAATCAATCGCCGCGTGTTTGCGATTCTTTCCATGGCTCCGTATTGACCGGGCGAAGTTCCGGGAGAGAAGCGCCGCCTGCGACGAGGCTACGGACATTGGGGCGGCGACCCCGACCAGGCGGCGCAGGCGGAAGGAGTGCTGTGATGGGCGGCGGTCGTCGGGATCTGTTCTCGTTCCTTCCCTGACCCCAACCTACCACGCAGTCGCCCCGCTTGGCTGAGTCCGTCCGTCCTTCCTTCCGTCGCCCCCTCCCTTTTTCCCCCTTCCCCCCTCCCTGCCCCCCCTCCTTGGCCGAGCTCCTCCTCGTCCTCCTCGTCCTCCTCGTCCTCCTCCTCCTCCTCCTCCTCCTCCTCCTCCTCCTCCTCCTCCTCCTCCTCCCCCTTCTCCCCCTGCTCCCCCTGCTCCTCCTGCTCCTTCCCATTTTTTCCTCCCCGTTCCCCTCGGAGCTAGCGCCTGCCTGCGTCCGCCGTCCCTTTCCCAGGAGGGAAGGCCATAGGCGCAGCGTCGATCCCCCAGACAGTATGGAACGTGTGGGATGTGGACGGGGACGACGGACGTCCAGACAATATCGCAAAACATATGGGGACTCGTGGGATTTGCGTTGATTGATCAGTCCTGGCCTGGGGTGTCCGGCGGATCCAAGATTTCCTTGCCGTTTTTGGTCGGCGGGCACCGTTCAACCCTTCAGGGCACCCCAGCACTGTCAAATTTTGCACGGCGGTTGCACGACGACGGCGGTTTTCGAAAGGAGCGTGTTTGAAACCATGGATGTTCGGAGCATCTTCTTTGGGTGGAGGGCAAAGGGTGAAATCTGCCGTTTCGGTGGATTTTCGAGGCATGCATCTGCACGCGGTGGATCAGAAGACGGATTGAATTTCGAGGTGCAAGAGCCCATATGGATTTCACCTTGAGCCCTCCACCTTAAAAAAATGTTCAGGATGTTCGCGAACGTTGAAATTATAACAGAGTAGTTATGAACGCGTAGTCTTAGTTTCCAAACCACGTTTGTGATTGTTTTTGAACAGATCGCCCCAGCATCGCAAAGGTATGTTTGTGATTTCAGAATAAATCCGTTTCTTCCTTCACGTTCTGTCGATTTTGAATGTTTGGTTTGTTTATTGTTTTGATTGTTTGTCCAAATGCGGTCAGTCAATCGAGTTTCGGCCGTTGTCAGAATTTCGTAAGCGGGGGGTTACCTTTGAAGACTCGGTTTATTGTGTCGTTGGTTTTCCTGCGCAGCCGGTTTCACAAGAGTGCACCGGGAATGATGTTTATTGATATGCGCGTTATCTGGGTCCCTGCAGTTTCTCTTTTTTTTCCCCCCCCCCCCCCGACGCCATTTCGCCCTTCAGCTGAATGCGCGCGCTCCTCCGGCCCCCTTCCTCCCAATCCTTCCCGTCCTTCCATCTCGCGTTAGAGGTTTTGCGCGGGCCTGTCCGACGAAAGGTGGACTGCGTGCCCTCGAATCGCTGCTCCTTCCGGCCCCCCTCACCAAAGCGTTCGCGGACGTTCTCGGGGCGCCCCCGGTACGTTTTGGAACGGCCGCGGCGCCCGGCGCATCCCCCAGAACCCGCCAAATTTCATAGATCGCCGATTTGTCCTGGTCCGGTGTTGTTCCAGTATTGGCTTCTACTTGTCGTTCCTTCCCGCCATTCTTTTCCTTTTCACATCGTCGACGCCGCCCTGCGTCGTGACGACGCAGGGCGGCGCGTCACCGACCGTCATCGACCGTCATCAGGTCGATGACGACTCGTCATCGACCGTCGACAGGTCTTCGTCGTCGTCGTCTTCGTCGTCGCCGCCCGCCGTCGCCGCCTTGCGTCCTCGCCGCCCTGCGTCGTCGCCGCCCTGCGTCGTCGACAGCCGTCGTCGCCGCCGTCGTCGTCGTCTCGGTTCGATTTTGTCCTGATCCCGGTTTCGTTTCGGCGCTCCGCCGCCCAGCAGGACGAGGCGAGGGCGCTGGAGGTGCTCGGCGCCCACGCCAGCGAGCTTGGCGGCGGAAGTGTTGGCAGCGGCGCGGCGGAGGGCGCAGGCTGCGTCCTCGCCCACTCGACCACGACGACGGCCGATCGACCACGACGACGACGACGACGACGACGACGACGACGACGACGACGGCGACGGCGACGGCGACGGCGACGGCAACACCGACGACGACGACGACGAAAACGACGACGACGATGAAAACGACGACGAAAACGACGACGACGACGACGACAGTGACGACGACGACAACGACGACGAAGACGACGACGACGACGACGACGGCCGATCGACGACGACGACGACAACGACGACGAACACGACGACGACGAAAACAACGACGACGATGACGACGACGGTGACGACGACGACGACAACGATGACGACGACGACTGCCGATCGACGACGACGACGACGACGACGAGAACGACGACGATGACGACGGCGACGACGACGACGACAACGACGACGACGACGACGGATGACGACGACAACGACAAAGACGTTGACGACAACGGCGGCGACGACGGTCGACGGTCGACGGCCGTCGACAGTCGACGCTTCTGGTTGTTGCCTGCCTACGGCAGTTCGGCGGCAAGCCTAGGGGGAGGAAAACTTGGGAGTTTCGGGTCCGAGGTTTTCGGGTGTTTTCGTTTCCGCGTCTTCCTCCGCTTCTATGCCTCACTTAGTTCCTTGCGGGTTCCGCCCGTAGCCCGACCGGCGCGTGAACCAGCTTCGACTCGCTTGCGCCCGCTGGTTTGACAAATGTTCATGGGTTTTCGGTAATTTCCACGTTAAGGCTTCAAAGGGCGGCTAGTGAACATGTTGTTATCTTCGTGAAAGAACTAAGTCCTGGTGGGCGGTGCGTGTCAGCCTCAAGATAAAAATATACACGGCGTCTTTTGTCGCGCAGAACCTCTCTGGACGGCTGCGCGCGACCAGCCTGTAAATTCGTGGGGCTGGTCGCGGCGCGAGATCGATGTCCTGGCAATCTTGGGTGTCCATTCTCTCTTTTTACATAGTCGTTCAACGCGTGGTCCGATTTTGAGCACGCGAATAGGCCCGACAAGCGCCAAACATTTACACCACACTCACACCACATGTATATCACATTTATATTACACTTACACCACATTTCACACTTTATACCACACTTACACCACATGTCACACCACATTCACATAATGTTTACACCACGTGTACATCACATTTACATTACGCTTACACCACATATACCCCGGACCGCACCTACTGTAGCGCGCGACGGGGCCTCTTGGGGCCGCTTGGGGTCCTCTTGGGGGCCTCCTGGGGGCCTCTTGGGGCCTCTTGGGGCCATCTTGGGGCCATCTTGGGACCTCTTGGGGCCTCCTGGGCGCTTCTTGGGGCCATCTAATAGGAAATCGATCAAAGAAGAGGGGAGCTTCAAGTAGGGTAGCCCCCCCAAGAGGCTAAAATGGAGCCAAAACCTTAGTAAACCAATGATTTGGGCTTCCTCGCCGAGGCCGTTTTGGGCGCTCTAACTACTCGTGACCAGCCTCGTCTAGGTCCAGTGGAGGGGGTAGGGGGAGGGGTCAAGACTCCCTCCCCGCCTGCAAGCCGTCTCGCTCACTCCCACCCGCCTTCCCAACACATACGTAGCACCCGAGCCTGGCCCGAGCCGCAGCATATTCACCAGTCGTCTTTGGATGGGCAGCTACTGGGGGCGAATCCGCCGCCGCCGCCGCCTCCGCCGTCGCCGCCGCCGCCCGCCGCCGCCGCCGCCCGCCGCCGCCGCGCCGCTGTCCGCCGCCGCCGCCGCCACCGCGCCGCCGCCGCCACCGCCGCCACCCGCTGCCGAATCGCCGCCGCCGCAGTCGCTGCCGCCGCAGCCGCTGCCGCCACCGCCGCCGCCGCCGCCGCCGCCACCGCCGCCGCTGCCGCTGCCGCCGCCGCCACCGCCGCCGCCGCCGCCACCGCCGCACCCGCCGCAGCCGCTGCCCCCGCCGCCGCCGCCACCGCCGCCAAGTGTACTCACTCTGTGTTGTTTTTTTGATAGGGATGGCCGGGGGAGGCCGCATCGGGTTCATTGCGCATGCTCCGAGTTTGGAGGCAGAGTGTGTTTCGTTTTGTTTTTTACAAGGGATGGTGGGGGGGGGCCGCATGGTCTCGGGTTGGCTCCCAGTCGCCTGGGGGAGGGGGTGTATATTAATAGGGAACAGTGATAAACCCTTCCCCGAAGGGGAAGAAGGGGGTTGGAAGAGGAGCCGCCCTAGACCACCTACGTCCAGAGGGCTGGTGGGGGATTCTCCGCAAATAAATGACTCTGCCCCGCGGAAGTCGGCGGCCTTCGCGAGCTCGCCGTGGAACTTAGGAACAGGCCCACTTTATTACCGTTGGCTGCCTTCTGCAGCCTTCACAGTTTTCCATCTTCGTGGTGGGTCCCAGCGTCTGGCCTCGTGTGGGTGCCCGGACACCGTTCCGAGCGGCCACGGGAGAGCCGAGCTGCGACCCGCAAGTGCCACCAGGCGTCCGAGAGTCGGCGGGCCTTTTTCAGCAGGCTCGGGCGGCCTGGGGCCTTCTGGGACGACCTTCTCCTTCTGGGATGCTTCTCAGAAGGCCGGGGGGCTTCTGAGAAGCCCCGCCGCCTTTGAGAAGGCATGCCCCCTCTCACTTCCCCCCGGACGCGCCGCCGAGCCGTGTCGAGGGAGGAAACACGATGACCATGACCAAGATTCCGCGGGATCTCGTCGACGCCGATCTTGGTCATGGTCAATGTTGGTCGTCGCCGATGTCGCGAGGATGCCCCGCGAATTCATAGTGACTAAGATGGACAATGACCAAACTCGTCACCAACTTTTTCGCTTTCAGAATTGGTCATGGTCTCTGGTTTCTCTCCCTCCATGGTCGACGTTTCTGGCTTTTGCCCGCTTGTGCTCTTGATCCGAAAAAGGAAAACATAATAAGCATACACATGTTGAGTTCGGAGCGGAATGTTTGGATTGCGCCGCGCCTGGTCGACGTTTTTGTCTGTTTCCCGCGCGTGTTCTTGACTCGAAGAAGAACATAATCTGCATCAGCGTAAGGATTTGAAGAGAAAGGTACCGATGCCGCTGCTCGTCCTGGGGGCCCCCGTCGCAACGGGTGGATTACCTTCGAAGTTCTGGTCAGAACGCACCCCAGGAGAGGTCAGTGAAGTGGCGGTGTGGTCTTTTTTGGGGGCCTCACCAGCTTGTGCTCTTGATCGCGTGCATGTTCTGCAGGTTTTTGGTCGTCATGCAGCGCCCTCGCGGCCACGGCTGGGTCCGCCTCGAAATTCTGGTCAGAAAGCACCCCTATGGTAGGTCCAGGGATCGATTGCGAAGGCCTTGCGGCCGACGACGACGACGACGACGACGACGACGACGACGACGACGACGACGACGAGCGCTCTCGGGGGCCTCTTGGGGGTAGTTTGGGGGCCTCTTGGGAGGCTCTTGAGAGCCGCTTGGCAGCCTCGTGGGGGGGGACGCGCATCGACCCCCGATCGCCGCCCATTTATCGCCGAGGAAGGTGCTTTGGCAGCCCAGCCTGCCCAGGACCGCGCAGTTGCGCCCTCGGGAGCCTACTCGCCGACCGACTACGCATCGGTCGTTGAAAGTAGATATTTTGGATTACCGGGAACCAATCTACTTCAAGCGCCTTCCTACTTCAATAATCGATCTGGTTCGGCTGTTGTTTGTTGTTATTCGGACGGGCCCGAACCCAATCTACTTTATCCGCCTTCCTACATCATATTTCAACCTACTTCTTCCGACCGGCATGTATCGGCGATTTGTCGCCGATTCCAGCTCGATGTTTCCCGGCGCCGCCCCCCCCTGAGCCAGTCACACCTTGACTTGACGTTCCCCCTCACGGGGGGGGGCTTGATCCCAAGCGCAATGTGTATCACTGGGACCTGGCAGTCCCGCTACCGTTCGAGTCCATCACAGGTTAGGGGACTTGCCGACTGTGGATCCCCCTCTGGCGTCGGCCACCCACCTTGAACACTGTTCTTGGAGGCGAGGGACGTGCGCTGTGTCCCGGCTGTGTGGCCGAGCCGTGCTACTGCCCGCTGCGGTCCGCTCTTCTCTATTCGGACCTGCCCGTCTGGAGTCAGGCCAATCCGGCATGCGGCATCCAGAGGGGGGGAGGCCCTCCCCCCCCTCTGGAGCAAACGGCGGCGCCGCGGATTCGAGACGAAACAAATTGATGAATGTGTTCTGCATGCCGGTCAGAGGGGGGGGAGGGAGGAGAACGCAGGGGGTCGATGCGGAGTGGCACGGGCACGCTGGGCAGGCGAAGCACCGCTCGAGCGGGCAGCCTTTCCCCCCTCCCCCCGCCTCCCTTTGAGCCACCCCCCCCGGGGTGGGAGGAGGACGCTGGGCCGAAGTACAGATTGCCGCGCTGTTGGACTGCGTGTTCCCATGGGTTCCCCCAGCCGCTGCGGGAACCTTTGGGGGAACCGTTGGAGAGGAAGAGAGCGGAAGAGGAGGAAAGGGAAGGAGAGGAAGGGTGGAGGAGGAGAGGGAGGAGAGAGGAGGAGATGGAGGAGAGGAAGAAGGAGAGGAAGAGAGGGAGGAGAGGAAGAAGGAGAGGAAGAGAAGAGGAGAGGGAGGAGAAAGAGGAGGAGGAAGAGGAGGACGAGGAGGAGGAGGAGGAGGAACGGAGGAACGGATGAACGGAGGAATTGAGGAACGGAAGAATGGAGGTACGGAGGAACGGAGGAACGGAGGAACGTAGGAACAGAAGAACGGAGGAACGGAGGAATGGAGGAAAGGAGGAACGGAAGAATGGATGAGCGGAGGAACGGAGGAACGGAGGAACGTAGGAACGAAAGAACGGAGGAGGAGGAGGAGGAGAGGGACGACGAGGAGGAGGAGGAGGAGGAGGAGGAGGAGGAGGAGGAGGAGGAGAAGGAGGACGAGGACGAGGACGAGGAGGAGAAGGAGGACGAGGAAGAGGAGGCCTCAGGAGCACGAGAAGGACGCGAAGGGCGCACCGCGGCGTTGCACGCGGCGCGCGGGGCAGGCGCAGCAGCGCTGGAGCGGGCGCCTCCAGAGGTGCGCGCGCTGTGCCGCCTCGTGGACGAGGACGGCCTGGCCGCGCCCGAGCATCGTCCTCCCCCCCTCGACTACAGTCAACCCGCAGAGTAAGGATGGGCGACCTTCCCAAGGGTACCCTCGCATCCTTGCCTCTTCGGTCTATCCTTGACCACTCTCGTGGGCCGCGCCCTGCTCGAAAAGCTTCGAAATGGGCGTCCAAGGGCCTTGCATCCTTATCGCGCATCCTTACTCTACGGGTTGGCTGTACTCGTGAGAGTGACCTTTCGCCGGAGTGACCTTTTGCCAGAGTGACCTTTCGCCGGAGTGCCCCTTCGCCGGATGCGATGCGACAGATGCGTCTTGCGCGCTTGGGCTTGGCCCCCCCCCCGCGGCTTCAAGAAAGCCGCGCACCAATGCCAGGGTCACTCTTGCGTGTACGGTCGGACCGAGGTATAAGATCGAGGTCGGCTCGGAGAGGGTACCCTAGCGTTCTGCATGGTTGTTGGATGTTCTTGTGCATCCTGGGGGAGGGCACCCTCGACAGTTCTTCAGTTTGGGCCGGCGGAGGGTCTCATGCTCTTGAAGGATGCTATCAGGTCCCAGGTCCGGCCGTACACGTAAGAGTGGCTTTTCACCGGAGTGACCCTGTGTGGGGTCCACCAGGGTCCCCGATCGCCGAGTGCATTGCGATAGTTGCGTCTAGCGCGGCTCCGGGAAAGCCGCGCACCAACACCAAACGTCATTTTTGTTCAGGGTTGCTCTTGCGTTAGCCGACCTTTTTCTTCATCGTCTCCGTCCCCCCCCGACTCCTGGGAGCGTGAGGCTGCAGTAGTTACGGCACAGGTATCGGCCACTCGCGATTTGCATCCGGCGGCCGGTTGGGGTCTCACACTCCTCACTGCTCTCTTTTTCATTGCACGCTGTGCTTCGCAAGTGCTTCAAATGCTCCCCCGTACTCCTCCTCATCCTTCTGCTTCTCCTCCTCCTCTTCCTCCTCCTCCTCCTCCTCCTTCCTCCTCCTCATCCTTCCTCTTCCATCCTGTCTCCTTTAAAGAACTCTTCCGCGTCGCCACCCCCAGACATGTCGGTAGCGCGGGTTGACGTTTCGTTTGAGGCTTCCTCACCATTTACGGTTCTGAGGCTTGAAATCTGCAATTGTTTCACGGATGGAGGGTGGGTCGTTTCCAAAATGTAGTTTTCATTTTAGCGCCACGCGCATTCGTTTTTAAGATTTGCAATACACTCATGTCAAGGATGGAAGGCGGGTAGTTTTCAAAATGTTGCTCTCGCCGCGCCGCGCACATTCGTCTTCGCAGTTTGCAGCAGCTTCAAGGATGGAGGGCCGGTGTTTTTCAAAATGTAGCTCTCGCCCCAGCGTTGCGCACGTTCATTTTGAAAGTTTGCAACAGTTTCAAGGATGGAGGGCGAGTCGTGTTCAACATGTGGCTCTCGTCTTAGCGCCCCCCTCCTGCCACTCCGGCGCAGCAGCCCCCGCGCACCTCGCTCGGGGTGGCTGGCGCCTTGTCCCCCCAGCAGCAGCGCACGCACACCGCCAGCCCCGCCGGGAAACGCCAAATCAGCGGCGCAAAAACTCGAGTTCGATTGCGCGGGCACTCCCGCGTGAGCTGGCTGCGGCGTAGGGTCGCGCGGACAGCCCTCGTCTCCGCTGCAGCGTTCTGCTCTGGCGGCCTGCGAGAGCCACCGCGTAAGGTCGCTACACCATCCCGCGTACAGTGGGGGCCCATGCCAAGAAACACCCTGCTTGCCTCCAGGGTGCCCTGGGTTTCTTGGGTTTCGATAGTTTCGCTATGCAAAGTGTGACGTTCCCACACCAAAAATCGAGGGACATCCTGGGGTCTCAGGGTTGGGTTTCTGATGGAAGGTTTCTTGTAGACTGGCCTCCACTGAAGACCCGCTTCTTGGCGTCGCCAGAATAAGAAACGATGGTCGGGCTGAACGGGGGGAGGTACAACATCTGCTGCGTGCAGCTGGTTTAGGCCACGCTGCTGGGCGTCCTTGCTCGATGATCACGTACACTGGCGCCCCTGGTGCTGGGAGGCGCTGGGGGAATCAGTTGGGTGGCCGATTCGGTACCCCCCCTTACAGTCAACCCACGTAGTAAGGATGATCAGCTTTCTAAGGGTACCCTTGCATCCTTCCCCTTCGGCCCATCCTTGGCCGCTTTCGCTGGCCGCGCCCCGCCCGCGAAATTGTCGACATGGCCCTCCAAGGCCCTTGCGTCATTATCGTGCGTCCTTATTATCCGGGTTGGCTGTACCCCCCTTTTGAGGCGGGGATTCCACGGTTGAGGCGTCGTGGGCTTCTTGGGCAGTACCCCTCCCTTTAGTTTCCCTCCCCTTGCGTCCGACCCGATCCTGCCGTCTCCTCCCTCCCTGCCTCCCAGCGCCCGCCCTCCCTCCCTCCCGAGCCTTCCCCGCTCGAGCTCCCTTCCTGACCCTGCCGCTGCTTGCCGCCTGCGTGCTGCTCCCGTTCCCTCGCCTGCTCGTCCGCCGCGCCCTGATCCTCCTCCCGCGCCTCCTTCTGCGCTTGCCCCTCCTGCTCAGAGGAGGAAAAGGTACCGATGCTGCTACCCTTCCCTTAGAGGCCCTCGTCGCCACCGTTGGATTCGCCTCGAAATCCTCCTGCTCCTCCTGCTCCTCCTGCCCCCCCTGCTCCTCCTTTTTCCACCTCGGGGAGGAAAAAGGGACGAGCAGGAAGGGCAGGCGGAGTGGGAGGCGCAGGGAGGAGGGAGGAGTAGACTGCAGGGAGGGGCGGGCGGAGGGAGTCGCAGGGGTGGACTGCAGGGACGAGGGAGTCCCTCCTCCCTGCAGGCTACCCCCCCTCCAGGCCTCATCCATTCTCTTGTCCGTCCTCGCCCTCGTCGCCGTCGTCTTCCGGTGTCGCCGCCCTAGCTCCTCTGGCCCCCTCCTCCCTGCTCCCCCTCCTTCTCCGCCTTCCGCCCCCCTGCCCCTCCTCCTCCTTCTCCTCCTTTTCCTAATCCTTTTCCTCCTCCTCCTCCTCCTCCTCCTCCTCCTCCTCTTCCATTTCTTTTCCTTATAAATAACTTCTCCCTGTCGCACCCCGAGGTCAGTTTTTAGGGCGGTCTGGGCGTTTCGCCTGAGACGTCCTCACCATTTATGACCCTGAAGCGAAAACATTGACAACTGTTTCACAGACGGAGGGCGGGTCGTTTTCAACATGTGGCCCTCGTCTTAACGCCGCGCACATTCGTTCAACAAATTGAAAGAGATTTGCGGATTGAGGGCGGGTGGTTTTCAAAATGCGGCTCTCGCCTTAGCGCCGCGCGCATTCGTTGTAACAATTTGTAGCAGTTTCACAGATTGAGGGCGGTTCCTTTTCAAAATGTGGCTCACCCTTTAGCGCCGTGCACATTCGTTTGTAAAACTTCAAGAGTTTCACGGATTCCCATGATCAGCATACCAAAAACTGCGTTTGGGAAGGATTCCGGATTTTGAGGGTGCAACAGTTATGTTGATTCGCGGTGTTTCAGTCCCAGGAATGGTGTTCTGGCACGATGCAAATTCGTCAAGACCCCACATTCAGGTTGATCCGTGGCGTTGGAATCCCGACAGCAATGTTTTGGCATGTTTCAGGGTTTTAAAATTGCTGTCTTCCAACGAGGCAGTTCCTTGTGGAAATGGACCGTTGTATAGGACCTATGAAGAAGGAGCTTGGAGGGAGGGTTTACTCCAACATCGTTGACGATTCTTAGGTTTTCACTGGTCCTCCTCCTCCTCCTCCTCCTCCTCCTCCTCCTCCTCCTCCTCCCGACCTCCTGAAGGTGCAGGTGGTGGTGGCCCGCCCGAGCCCTGATGGGACAGCCGCGAGCATGCTCCTTCCCCTCCTCCCTCTTCCTCCTCCTCCTCCTCCTCCTCCTCCTCCTCCTGCTCCTCCTCCTCGTCCTCCTCGTCCTCCTCGTCCTTCTCCTCCTCCTCCTCCTCCTCCTCCTCCTCCTCCTCCTCAGGTTGAAGCCTCATGTGCAGCATCGGCCTTTACCCCTCTCGGCTAGGAATGCGGATCTGTATCGTGATCTCTTTTCGCTTGGCTCGTGATGCGAACGACACTTGCACAAGCTAACACCATGCTGAGGGGATTGTTTCGTGGTCTGCGCGTTCCCTCGCGGCCTCTTGCGCCCGCCGTGCGCCGAGAAGCTCCGACGACACGATTTTGGGCACCGCTGTCGGCCCCAGGGGCCATCAAAAACGGATCCCGATCGCAGACCACCCTAGGGGAAGGGGAGCTGGCGGATTGAAAAAGAAGATGTCGGAAGACGTCAGGGCTTGCGGCCTTTCGCGCCCGCCCGTGCAGGTGGTCCCGCGCCTTAGGCCGGCGCACCTGGGCACCGTGCTGGTGGGCTTCGATTCCCTGGCCGTGGCGCGGCTGGCGTACAGCATCAAAGCCCGGCTTGGCAAGGCGACGCGCAGCCGTCCTGCTCTTCCTCCTTCCGCCTTCACGCCCGGTCATCGTCTGCCCTCCTCCTCCTCCTCCTCCTCCTCCTCCTCCTCCTCCTCCTCCTCCTCCCCCTCCCCTTCTTCTTCTCCTTCTTCTTATTCTTCTTATTATTATTATTATGCTTCGTCTGCTTATTAGAAAGAGCGTGTTCTACCGCTGCTGGCGGAAAAAACCGGGGGGGGGTCCACTACCGGTTCGAAACCCCTCCCCCCCCCCCCCCCCCCCCCCTCCGGAAAACCGGGGGGGGTCATTACCGGTTCGAACCCCCCCCCCCCCCCCCCCCCCTGCTCATCATGAAAAGGGGGGGGGGGTCACTACCGGTTCGAACCCCTCCCCCCCCCCCCCCCCCCTCCGGATCCGGAAAACCGGGGGGGGTCACTACCGGTTCGAACCCCCCCCCCCCCTCGAAAACCGAGTGGGGGTGCGGACAGTGGTGGGGACGGTGTTGGTGGGGACAGTGGTGAGGGGATAGCGGGACAGTGGTGGGGACAGTGGGACAGTGGGACAGTGGTGGGGACGGTAGTGGTGGGGACAGTGGTGGGGACAATGGTGGGAACAGGGGGGGACAGTGGACAGTGGTGGTGACGGTGGTGGTGGGGACAGTGGTGTGGGGACAATGGGAATGAGGTGGAAACAGTGGGACAGTGGAGGGTACAATGGTGGTGGGGACAGTGGTGAAGGCGGTGGCGAGGACGGCGGTGGGACAATGGGACAGAGGTACAGTGGGGACAGTGGTGGGGACAGTGGGGACAGTGGTGGGAACAGTGGGACAGCTCAGTGGGACAGCGGAGGAGTCAGTGGGACAGTGGGGACAGTGGGGATAGTCGGGCAGTGGTTGGGGCCGTGGAGACAGTGGGGAGAGTGGAACCGTGGTGGGAACAGTTCTGGGGACAGCGGGGACAGTGCGACAGTGGTGGGGCCACTGGGGGGACAGTAGGGGCGGTGGTGGAACCAGTGGGGACAGCGGTGGTGAGGACAGTGGTGCTGGGAACACCAGTGGGGGATGTGATGCGGACGGTGGTGGGGACCGGGAGTCGTTTGCTGGCGGTGAGTAGGGGGGGGGGGGGGGGGGGGTGGGGGGGGGGGGGGGGGGGGGGGGGGGGGGGGGGGGGTTCGAACCGGTAGTGACCCCCCCCGGTTTTCCGAGCGGGAGGGGGGGGGGGGGGAAGGAGGGGTTGGGGGAGGGGGGGGTTTTTGCCAGAAGAGGGGGGGGGGGGGGGGGGGGGGAGGGGTTCCAGCAGGGGGGGGGGGGATTTTCGGAGGGGGGGGGGGGGGGAGACCCCCGGGCTCCGGAGGAAAAGGTTGGCAATTTTCCACAGTAAAGCGGCGGTGGATCACGCTCTCTCGCTTATTATGATTGATAGTATTAGGATGGTTCCTCATCTGAAAAGTATTAGTACTATTATTCTGTTTACTATGGTGAGTGCTCTTATGTTTGTAGTCGCATGTCTATGATTGATATTCGTAGTGGTGTTAGCATTGATGTTAGTTGGTGTTATGTTAAGTGATGCCATCAGTTTGGTTGATATCATTATAGCGAATATGTTTTTACGACTAAGGTTATTCGTAATATTAGTCGTATTCTTGGTACTATGAGTATTGGTACGAATATGAATAGTACAACTGTTTATCGTTTTCTTTTTCTCTGTATAAAAAATGGTTTGATGGCGTTATAGCTCTTAATAACAGTATTGCTATTATTTTAACTCCTCTTCCTCCTCCTCCTCCTCCTCCTCCTCCCCCTCCTCCTTCTCCTTCTCCTTCTCCTTCTCCTTCTCCTTCTCCATCCTCCTCTCCCCCTTTTCCTCACCTTCCTTCTCCGTGCTTTTCCCTCCTCCTCCTCCTGCTCCCGCTCCCTCCTCCTCGTCCTCCTCCTCCTCCTCCTCCGCCTCCTCTTACGTAGTCATTTTGGCTCAATGTCTTGAAATTCTAAGTGAAACAAGTGAAGACCGCTAGCCCGCCGCTAGTCTTCATGATTTGCCTGGTCCGCCCCACACAGCACGTCGCTCCATTTTGCCACGGCCAGGCCCAGCGCGGGCCGTTGGCTTCAGTGGACCCTCCTCGCCCTGTCAGCGTCGGCACGATGGTCGCCAGGCGCCGCCGAGAACAGACTGAGCCTTGGCGCCGCAAGTGGTGCAAGCATGACGTCACGGGCTTGCCATCGGTTCAATATTAGAGGAGTGGTCGATTGCAAACGTTGCCAGATGTACAAGGCGACCTGCTTCAAGGAGCACAAGCGCGAGGCCAGCCCATAATTTCATCTCCAGGAGCAGCTCCCGGCCCCACCATCTACAGGTGCTTTGCCTCCTTGGGCAACACAGGCGGATGGCGACACTGTCAAGCGGCAGTGCATCAAGACGCTTGACCAGCTGCTGCTTGTTTCTACCGATCCCTCACATGCAACTGATATCGCCAAGAGGCGCGAGGGGCGCGCGCGTCTTGAGTCGGAGCTTTTCCAGGACTGCCCGATTGAGGACCAGGCCATTTCTCTGGCGTCCAGGCTGTCGGCTGCGCGTGCCAAGCAAGCCACCATCCAGGCTGCGTGCGCCGAGAAGCAGTAGAAGCTTGGCGAGCTCAGTCGGGGCCTGGCTGAGATTGGCATCAAGTTAGAGGAGTCCACCGCCGAGGTGCTGCGCTTGGAGCAGGAGACTCAGGCCGCCATATCTCGCGCCCAGCCTCCCGATGGTAAGTTTGAGCCGAAGCTGGCTGGTCTACGACCTGGATTTGCAGCGAGTGTGGGGCAGCTTGGCACCGTAGCCAGCGGCCTGGGTCGGATGCGGATACGGGGCAATAATTCTAGGGCGCGGTCACCATCATTCAGAAGTTGCGGCGCCGGACCCAAGCCAAAGCCCCCCTAGCCGGCTAAACCCTGGGGCGAGGCCGAGCAAGCTGAGGAACCCAACGTGGACGTGTCCGACCAGGACCTCAAGACCACACTGGACGCAGATGGCAGAATTACTTGTTAGGGAAACGCACTGTCCAGATGACTTGCGGGAGAAGTTCAACAGGCCCCAGGGTTCTTACTGTGAATAGAACCCGTGTAATACCCCCATATATACTCCTTATCCTTACCTCTCCTGCGCCTGGCCGTTTGGGCTCAGGTATTGGGACAGATCGATCAGACCTTTGATCGTGCAGGAGGGAAAGACATCCATATTCCCTCCTTCCCTCTACCAACGGATCAGGGGTTCTGTACCCTTGTACTTCAACCCCATACACAGGTTATCAGCCCTTTAAAGCTCACCTTCACCGAACCGCACGTTGTGATCTCGCACGCGGTCTCGATGGAGCCCCTGCGGCGCATGCGCCGCAAGGGATCCATCGAGGCCTCGCGTCCGAGCTCTCCAACGGCGCGACGGCTCGGTGACGAGTTGGAGAGCCTTAGTGCGGACTGTGTTGGTGTTCCAGATACCCCCCCCCCAGCTCCGACGGACCCGAGGCGCGGCTAGCTGCTGAGCTTCACCGCAGCGCCGCCCGCGGGGGGACAGGAGAAGGAGTAGGAACAGGAAGGAAGGAGTTTCACACGCCTACCTTCGATCCTCCATCCCCTTCCCCGTCGGGAGCAATCCCAACCGCGTCAGGCGAAAGCCTCACCGGTCATGACACTCCAGGGCGCTTTCGCGCTAACCGCCGATGGACCTCAGGTGCTGGTACCCCCAGCCCTGCGACCGTCCCCGTGGCGGAGCACGTAGCCACCTTCGAGGAACTCAGTAGACCAGTGGCGGCACAGCCGCAGACGCAGTACCCCAAGGTATCATCGGATGAGACACCACACACACATGGTCCGAGTCGCAGCTCGTCCGCGCGCAACCGCCGTGGAGCCCCAGGCCCATGCGGCGAGAGTAGGTCGAGCCCGCGTACTGCCTCTCAGAGGCCATGCACTCCCCGCGACAGGGGACACAGGGAAGCTGACGCTCCCCACCTCTCCATCTCAGACGACCAGCTGGCGGAAACGTCCGCCGCAGGTGAAATAGCTGAGCTCAGAGACCAGGTTGAAACCTTCGTGTCCAGGCAATACTCTGGACTACTGCAGAGCGTTCAGACGAACGCCGCCGATACTGCAGCCATACGCCACGATCTGGACGGCGCCTTAGGGATCATTGATTCCAGGATCGCCGAAGATCGACGTATCATAGGTGAACTGCAGTACCAGGTTGATCGTGAGGTGTCACACTCAGGTGAACGAACGGCGATGGTCGAGAACCTGCGCAACTACCTCGCGCAGATGGAGCAACAGCTTGTGCTCGTACGCGACACAGGCGTTTCAGCAGTCAGGATTTTACATGATGAAATCCACGACCAGCTCCGCAACCGACCAACACCAGCCGAGGCCACCGACCTTGGCGACGTTCAGTCTCAGATCAATGATCTTCGATCTTACCTAGACCACACTACGGCGACGCTTCGCAACGAAGCACACACCAACTCGTCGAACCTGATCGACATGTTGCAGCGTACTGAGAGAGTCATCACTCAAAGGCTTGATGCGACCAACGCTGTCGTGCAGCCACTCGCTAACCGGATCTCTGACATCGAGCAGCGTTTTCCTGGTGTACAGGACGCCCTGGCAGAGTTGCGTGTCGGACGAGCCCAGACTGATCAGCTGGATTCTCCTCCCACGGTTTACGATTTCGCCCGCCTCACTGACAGGTTGCAGGAGGTTGAGAAGGCGGCGGGCCACACGCAGTTGGAGCTCTCCCAGGTTATTCGTGAAAGAGATACTGAGAAGGTACGTGTAGAGAGTCACCTCGCACGTCTGGAAAGCGAGCTGGAGGCACAAAGCGCCCGTCTCCGAGCATACGAGCAACGACTTGATCGGCATTCACAACGTTCTCGGGATACTGATGAGTATACACGCCAAAAGGTGGCACAACTACACGAAGACATGACGAGCTGGACGAATCAGCTGATCGACCACACCAACGACACCAATCTCCACCTTCGACCTGCAACCGACCTGC